GCCTCCCAGAGGTAAAGCTCTCGTGGCTTAGGACACTGGCCATAACGTCGTATCTCAGAGGACTGCTGTTCACATTCTGTTTCATTCCTCTCCATCTCACGCTTTTCAAATCAGGAGATACGTAGAGCTGGGGATGAGCTGTGCTTGGATTCAGAGTCAAATTTGCTGTGTGGAAGAAAGAAAAGGGGTAGGGAGAAGGAATTACCATCTTTTTTATGCCGTCTAGTTTTTCTTATGCAATTAATAAAGAAACAGATTTTGTCTGACTGGGTGTAGCATTAAGGGTGTAGGATTTTTCTGCTCAAAAGCTTTGGGAGAAGCGGAAGTGATTGTTGTACACTGCCCAGAGTCACTTTGTGTGAGATGGGTGGCTATATAAATATGATCAATAAAACAATAAAAAACAAGATGAAGCTGGCTGGAAACGTATGGGCAATTGCATCTGGGAACTGGGTGTCTTTTCAGTGTCACTTTTGCTCAATTATATACAGTAAACTTTCTATTTTGCAGACACCCAATCTGTTGACTCTGGATGCAATGGAAAAAACCCTGACTTCATATTTTATGTAAATGTTATCTAGGTTATGCAAACATCTGTAATTTAAAATAAATGACAAAGTGACTTTATGTAATTGATCTATACAATGTACATAAGATTTGCATATATTATGTACAAAATGGCCATTGTGTAAAATGTCCATAAATTCTGATTTAACAGATGTTTGTTTTTAACAGACACCCCTTTCTTCCATTTGTCTGTAAAAGTGAGATTTGATTGGAGCTCCAATTTTCCTCCCACTTTCCCTTCCTCTTTTGTTCAAATTAACCATTGCTAGTTTTGGTGTGTTGATCTCAGTGCCATGTAAACTAGATGTTAAACACCTATTCTTTTCAGATACTCCCTCTGCTGCCTCTATTAAAATTTAAATCCTTCATGTCTTTATTGTTCCACCTTGCACTCCAGGACTTGCTTAAGCCTGACAGTCCTGGAGCTGTCAGTTTATAAGCTTCTCTGTCTTCTCTGCCCTAATTCCAGGAAGGGAGACATGTCCCCATTCAGCAGCAGCAGGAGGCAGAGTAAATAGCTCCCTATGTACAACCATTTCATCTAGAGGACTAGCCCCACTCAGATACCCTGGAATTCAGGTAGAAGGGACAGGAGGGTAAAGATTCTACTTGGGGATCTGTCTCACTTGTGTTAGTGCCCAGGCTCCTCTCCGTAGTGTTTATAAACTGTTCCTCTAAAAAAGGGGGGGTATCATTTTGACTTTATATGGATCTAGATTCAAGGAATGAATTTATTATAAATAGCGCTGAGCTACCCCACTGTGTTTTTCAGGGCACAATCATTCTGGGATGGCTGATACTCCATCACTGGAGAGTGGACTTTTCTCTTGAACTCATGTTTATCACTTTGCTTTTCTAGTTCATCACCTTTGGGGATGTGCTTGAACTAGACCCTTCCTGAAATTGGCCTCATCTGGAAATGAGACTTTGAACGGACATCTCTCCCATTGATACATGAGGAAAACATTTCATTTTCTGCTGGATTCTGCCCAAAGGGGAAAAAACACGAGCAGCTTAATTTCTTAGCTCAGGCAGAAAGACCAGACAGGGGAATATGGCCCAAACTCCAAATGAGTGATTCCTGTTTTCTTTGTCCTTGGTTCTTGTTGCAACTGAATGGCCCGCTTCTCTAGCAATGTACATTGCCAGAGGAGAGCATAATAACTACAGAAAGCAGTGAGCTGTTGGTATATTCCTTTCCCAAAGGAGATGTTCAAGACTGAGGAACATCAGATGACCCTTGCTTTATTTTGCAGTTCAATGCCCACTTTGCTAGACACCCAAAATGACTATCATGGGGCTTCAACAGACCCTAGATCAGTGTTTCTCAACCTTGGGAACTTTAAATTATGTGGACTTCAACTCCCAGAATTCCCCATGCTGGCTGGGGAATTCTGGGAGTTGAAGTCCACATACCTTAAAGTTGTACAGGTTGAGAAACACGGCACTAGATCATCCTGTCACTGGAGCAATGTACATTTCCTGAAACACCTCACAGGTGTGTGAGCTTTCCCACCACATTTGTATGTTTTTGAAACCACAAACAAAGAGGAATAAACATGTAGCTCAGTGCTAGAAGAGTTGGAGTTTACCTGTTATACTGTTTGTAGCTGATTGACAAGGAATACAGTTTAGCATGCAACTCCGGATCTGGTAATGTGGAACTTCTGAGTCAGCATGGCCCAGGAAACCTTAAAAAATAATTTGAGTTTAAATCCATCCCATTATGCCATCTGGTTTATATTGCTTCACAAGCTGCCTCAAGTAAGTTGAGAACCCACTGGACTTTTGTACTTTTCTGATTGCAAGTGATTTTAAGAAAACAAAGTCCCTGTGAATAAGAGTAAAATATCAGCAAGAAGTACCATTCTCTCAGATTCAATCATTTCAAAGGATTTCCTCCCCAATGAGCCCAATTCATAAATTCAAAGGATTACATTTTGGGTGTGAATAAGGTTGTGTGTTTGTGTGTGTCCCGTACATCCTGCCAACAGCTATGTATTGTGGCAAGAGAAAACCATGACAAACTGGGAAAACAGAGCAAAACTTGTCTTACCTTGAAGCATAAAAAGAATCAAAAGCACAGCCAGGGCCACGTTTCCTGCCACCGAAATGCCAAGCCCAATTTTGCACCAGAGATTCAAGGAACAATCTGTGGATATTAATCCTACAGTTTAGCCTTCCACCCCTCCATCAGCTTCCATAAGGATGTGGGGGTGATTAAAATACTGAATTAGGCCCAGGTTTACCACAGCAGTGGAAACTCACAGGGTGATTTGGGGCCAGACACACACACTCAGCCCAACCTACTGCACCGGGACATTGTATGGGGAAATAAAGCAGAATGCCACGGGTGTCCCCAGGATCTTGTTGCTTTTATCAAAATTATGAAAGCAGCATTGTTTAGTCGCACCACAAATTCTGCTCCTCTCGTACTTATATGTGAGGTAATGACAGACATACAGAAGGGGGTCCATCATTCTTCACCCCCTGCAGAAGATGCTGGAAGAGGAATTGCTTCAGTATTCCCTTGGAGCTGGTTAGTGGATCTGTTTCCTTTTGGTTCAACTAACTCCTCAGTGCAGCAAAGATCAGCACAAGGACCAGAAATAAGAGTCATGAGAATACTTTCAAAGTAGAAATTAAAATGAAACATAAAGAGATATGGCATCCTGAGCTTGCTCTTCCTTCCTTCCTTCCTTCCTTCCTTCCTTCCTTCCTTCCTTCCTTCCTTCCCTCCCTCCCTCCCTCCCTTCCCTCTCTCTTCCTTCCTTCCTTTCTTTCTTTCTTTCTTTCTTTCTTTCTTTCTTTCTTTCTTTCTTTCTTTCTTTCTTTCTTTCTTTCTTTCTTTCTTTCTTTCTTTCTTTCTTTCTTTCTTTCTTTCTTTCTTTCTTTCTTTCTTTCTTTCTTTCTTTCTTTCTTTCTTTCTTTCTTTCTTTCTTTCTTTCTTTCTTTCTTTCTTTCTTTCTTTCTTTCTTTCTTTCTTTCTTTCTTTCTTTCTTTCTTTCTTTCTTTCTTTCTTTCTTTCTTTCTTTCTTTCTTTCTTTCTTTCTTTCTTTCTTTCTTTCTTTCTTTCTTTCTTTCTTTCTTTCTTTCTTTCTTTCTTTCTTTCTTTCTTTCTTTCTTTCTTTCTTTCTTTCTTTCTTTCTTTCTTTCTTTCTTTCTTTCTTTCTTTCTTTCTTTCTTTCTTTCTTTCTTTCTTTCTTTCTTTCTTTCTTTCTTTCTTTCTTTCTTTCTTTCTTTCTTTCTTTCTTTCTTTCTTTCTTTCTTTCTTTCTTTCTTTCTTTCTTTCTTTCTTTCTTTCTTTCTTTCTTTCTTTCTTTCTTTCTTTCTTTCTTTCTTTCTTTCTTTCTTTCTTTCTTTCTTCTTATGCAATTTCTATATATTCAATTTTGTTGCACTTCAAAGCTAAACAGGTTGCCTTTTTGCAACCAATTTTCTGTAAAGGCCTTAGGGGAGGACTTCGGAGCCAGCAATGGGCGAATGATGACAGATTAGACAGCGGCTTTTGCAAACGCCAAAATAGAGCAACTTTCTGATGGTGGATTTCAGTTCCTCTCAGAGCAGCCCAATCAAATTTTGGCCACAAGTGGGAGCTATGGACAATTTCAGAGAGGGGAGTGTTTTGCTTCCTCACGCAGAGCTGGCACCATACTGCCAGGAGTATCACATTTTGTAGAGACAACGAATTACAGGCAGAGCTAACTTAACAAAGAAAATTATGGGGATGAGGTGTGTGTGTTTTGAATCTTTCCTATGAGAGACACCTTCTAGGGCACGGCCAGATGGCCGTGTTAACCTGCAATGCACTTGTCCTTCAGCAGCCTGGAAAGTCTGTTAGCGTACAATTTGTTGCCCTGAGCATCTAATCCTCTTTTGCTCCAGGAATGCGACCTGCAGATGGGGCTGTCCTTAGAGCAGTGTTTCTCAACCTTGGCAGATTTAAGATGTGCGGACTTCAACTTCCATTGTTATGACAAGTTTTAAAACTATTTCTTAATCTCTCCAGGATCTTGTCCCATTGTAGCAAATGAACAAATTGGCTTCAATGTTTACAGGCTGAGTTGTTCACCCTGCCAGCCAATCAAAATGTCAGATTTAGTCTCTGGATTTCACATGTACTCTCCAGGTACAAAGAGATTTCAGCATGCACACACAGATATTAAGAAAAACATTCTCTACTTTCTCAATTTTTTTCTACAGTAAAAAAAGATTAAACTCCTAGGGACTGGATTCATTTTCACTTCTTTCTTAACTTTCCTTTTTTTTTTAACTTACTGCCAATCTGCAGAATGTAATATTAATAATAATTTTTAAAAATAGCTTTAAGTCATTACCTTTGCTTCTTTTAGAGGCTGGCAAGTGATGATCTCTCTTCTTTGGATCTATACTCATATATCCATCTTCATCCATCTTCTGGAGCTTTTTATTGATGGCAGAAGCAAGTTTCACAGTCTTCAAAAGAGAAAGTAATAATCCCTTGAGGTTCTTCAAAGAGCCAGTCTGAAGCAATTGCATAAATGGCTTCAGAAAGCCAGCCCCTAAGTCAGTAAATGACGTTTCATTCAAGTGAGATGGGGTTATTCCTTAGTTGCAATCATTAGTACACAACCGATGCTTTGTGGACAATTCTGGCTTGAAGATGACCAATAGACTGTTAGTTGATGGCAGATATTTCTAGCTTTTTTCAGACTCAGAACCTCAAATTCTTGGGACAGTGATCATATTTCCATTTGGTTCCTTTTCCCACCATGCTGTAGCAAAGCTCAACTCTATGATTTCATGACAACTCTTTGGGAATAAAAAAAAATCAGGTGACTGGATTGGGAAAGGAGGTGTGGCTGTTCCATCTCCTAATTAACCCCTTGTGATAAGGAACTGTAGTGATAGAAAGACTCATTTCAGGTTAAGGCCATGGTCAGGCCTCCATTATTGGTGTGGATTCTGTGGGATCATGAGTTCTTCTGCATACTGTACCTTTGGAGACCCCCTTTTGGTTCCCTCAAATAACAATTACTGTAGACCAGTGTTTCTCAACTTTGGGAACGTTAAGATTGTATGGACTTCAACTCCCAGAATTTCCCCGTCCCCCCCGGCTGCCCGGGGACTCTTTGGGTGTGAATCCAGAAAAAATTATAGATTTCCAAGGGTTGAGCACAAGTGG